ACTTTTACAGGTGTCTCTATAACTCAATAGAAACAAGGAGAACACTTTTTCTATTTCTTTTAGAAAATACTGTGACAAAAAAAGAAAAACAATTTGTTTACGTTTATCATGAAAATGCAAATTCTCTTTGCTTGTGCCATCATTATGTCAACAGCTTGTGCTACACTGTAGTTCTGTGTTTCTATCGAGTTATAGAAACATGATTTTAAACCAATAAGCGTGCCTTTTTTCTTTGGGCCATTTTTAAATTATTATCATATAACCCTGAATGGAACTTCTTGTGATGGATTCTTCAGAAAGCTATTGATTTTTATATGCACTGTCTGTTTTTTGAAGATAAAAGAGAACACTTAACAACAAGAAGCTCGGAAAAAGCATACTGGGGGCAGTTTAAGATAATTGCTTTCTTGGTTAAGAAGTCTGTGGAGGACAAGAAGAAGAAATGTATGAAAAACCTTGCTACTGGATCAATACTTGGCATGATCTGGTCTAGCACAATTACAGAATGAATATTGCTTTTGCAACATAACACATAATTTATGTGAATGACCCACAAAGTGATAGTCTGCAATTATAATTGCTGCATGCTGAATCAAGTTTTTGTTTTGCTTTTAGTAATTTATCATGCCAGTAAAGCAACCTACTTTCAATGTCAAATGGCACTGGCTGACAGTAAACAACCAAGTCAGAGAGCTCTTGACTCAGGTTAGACTGCCGCACCATTCTTTGTACCATAGCTTCCCTTGCTTCTGCCATTTGATGAAGTACTTGTAACCATTCATTTAAATCCTACAATAAGGCAAAAAATGTCAGAATGCATTCAATGAAAGTAAAAGAAAAAAAAGGTGATTGAATACTGTATACCTCTTGGCATTCTGCTGCTGCTTCAAGTAAAATCTTTCCATCCCGTTTGGCAATTTGAACAACATGCTTCTGTCCTGGTTTACTTGATGTGTAATCTTAAAAAATGCAGGGAAAAAAAAACAAATACCAACAGAATATGGTACTCAATCAAACAAAGTATCAATCTCTCAAAGGGTGTCAGCATTTTCTTGTATTTCTATTGGTTATCTTTTCATAGATAGGTCAAGTTCCACTATCAAACAATTTGCAAAATGTTTTGCATTAAAATAAAAGAATTCATTGACGCACTTTTGTTCCTTATTTATCAGTGTATGTTATGGCCAAATTTCACGGAAAACCATCAATTTTACATACCCTATGTAATTAAAGAGAAGGGATTCTCTTGAGAAAGAAGGCAAGTTTTTGCCTTCATAAGATATACAAACATATCACACCTTCTCAGAAGGATGTGTCAACTCAAAAGCCACCAGCCAATGAAATAACAGAACCCATAACGTTCACAGTATACAAACTGGAACTTCATGGAAAAGTGACAGTGTTACAGTCATGGTTTATAGGTGCACACATTTGATATTTGATTCGCTGGTGGTCAACAATGTGCAAAACGAAAGGAAAGCGATGTGTATGGTTGTGTAACAAAACAAAAAGAAACTGAGGAGCAAATGCTGATGCATGATTTCAAGGAGGCACTCGTGACGGACATGAAATATCTGGAGTAAGTTTTGTGTCCACTAAAATTGAAAGTATTTGATACAGGAATTTTCTTGTTAGAAAAAGCGGGAGCATCCCAATGGTGATTTCTTACATGTTATCAGGTTCAAAAACCTATTAAACAACCCTTGAGTCTAACCAAATGCTAGTGAGTTGACAAAGGATCTCCACACGAAGCTGTTTGCCATGAAAAGTTGCTGATGAGTCCATGCCTTTTGAGGATTACGACACCTTGGCAGTTTATTAAAAAATCTCTTTTTCTCCATAACTTGTGCACGTTTTAATATTTTATTTTCATTTTTGGGAAAATGTTACCTTAAATAATGAACTTTAATTTGGTTGGAAAAAAAAATTAATTAGGCAAAAGTAGCCCAGTGAAGGTGTGGAGTAACCTTGACCAATTTGAGAAGGTTCATATAATTGAAGAGTTTCGTGCTAAAAGGGCCTATATCGCTTTTTGGGCTGATTTTCATTTTTTTTAGAATCGAGCTCATTTTTGGCAGACTGACTTTTTTTGACATGAAAACCATCGTTCTGTAATTGTTTTTGTTGATTTGCACTTCATTTTCGAGAAATAACATATGCAAAAAAGCTCAGTTTTCCAAGGACATCTTTTGGAGATCTTTTGTTGAATGAAAAACAAAAGAAACCTTTTGTTTTGCTAAACAATGAAGTCACTGAAGTGTGGCATTTGCCGCTATTTGTTTGAACTGATACAAGTTTTATTATTCATACATTGTATAATTACACTAATCTCTTACTGTTGCTTTTTTAGCGCAAGCAGATTCAAGTTTGTTTTGTCATGACACCGGTTTGATACAAGGTCGGTTGATTTTTCTTCCAGTCTATTTCTCTACTTCTTTCACAAATAAAAACATCTATTTAAAAAAACTGGGCCGTAGAAACTGCTAAAAGTAACCATTTAAGTTTGTGTTGCGTCGAAATCCACCTTCAAAGGATTCGCTCCAAAAGGTGCCACTTGGAAAACTGAGTTTTTTTGGCATATGTTATTTCTTGAAAACAAAGCGCAAATCAACAAAAACAATTATGCAAAACAAGTCAGTCTGCCAAATATTAGCTCAATCCTGAAAAAATGAAAACCGGCCCAAAATGCCATAAGTTATGCCCTTTTTGCACGAAAGCCTTCAATTACAAGGAGATTCAGTGCTTGTTACAGTGTAGTACTCAATATCTACTAAAATGCTGAAGTTGTTAAACTTACAGTACATGTCACTAAATAGAGTGGAATGTTTGATCATTAACATACCAACAATACACCCTTGGAGATCAATACTTCCTTTCTGAAGATCACCTAATGGGGACACTTCTTGATTCTACAAGTGAAATAACGGAACAATAATTAAGACAAACAGGTCAAGATAGTGGAACTGCTATTACCATGCCATCTTATAAAACTTATCAAAGGCAAAAGGGCTATCTCAAGTAAAAAAGTGTTTTATCATGGTCTGGCAATAGATAGTAAATTGAAACATTAATAATGTTCAGCTCAATTATTTTTAAAAAAAGTCCATCCCAGTGATAGAAACACCTTCCAACCCAGCAACAAAATAACTGGTGCTTTGAACAGGGCATTAAAAATGGTTTAAAATCGACCTGCCACTGTGACATAGTGCAGACAAAACAACTCTGCGCCGTCTAGTGACTATTCTTAATAATGATATTAATTATATATTTTCATGAATGTGGTGTAGATAACCCAACTCTAACACCAGCAGCAAAAATAATTTTTAATCCAGTGGCCACTATTATTCTGACACCAGCAACAGAACTCGAAATTGTCTCAGTGACAAAAAATAATTTTTGAACCCCACTGTAATAATAACAGAGGAATTCAAATACAGTATGTCTTGGTAATGTTAGAAAATAAGACTTGAAAATGACATTTCCTGACCTCAGAGATGTCATCTTCACCATTCATCTCATCCTCTTTGACATCTTGCTCTTCCTCTGCCACATAGTTTATCTCCTCACAATAATTAGCTGGAAAGAACTTCTGTTTTTGTCCTCCATAATCACCAATCCACCTTTTATTTCAATCAAGAACAAACCAAACCCTTATTTTAATGAATCATCTGATTTCCAGGTTATTTCCTTGGGTTCTTCCAGAAAAATCTACACACCCCTGATGGATAGGTTTCTGGAAATCCTCTCTGGAGGTGGGGTGGGAGGGGGGGGTGGTCAAAGGCGATGGAAATCCAGACAGGAAGGGGGGGGGTTGAACCTAAAAAAGTCTTCTTTGGGGATCATTTCTAACCAAATGTAACCCTGAGCTTTTATATGTGTGACTTGTGACACTTGAGTGCTCTCTGAATCTGAAAAAAGTTGAAATCTTTCAGTTTTATCTTTCTTTCCTGATATACTTCAAGTTACCTACTCAGGTTCTTCCATAAACACGCAGAAAACTTGACAAAAAGACAAACATGAAGAAAACTGTTGCCACGAAGCTCACTGTGTGTGTAATGCCTGGCACTATTTGTATTGTCGTGCCCATGCTCAGCGTGCTGCTGAGCGTAAACTGTTGACAGAAAGAGTTTCAAAATTCACAGCTCTTGATCATTCTACATGCAGTCATGTAAATACCCAAGAGTAGAATGNAAACACTGTGTTTCTTTGAGTGATTATCCAATAGCAAATGTTTATCAAACCCGCCCACAAAATCCTCACCTCAGAAGATGTCGAAATAAGCCCAATACATGAATAATTGCTCCTCTTTTATAGAAGAATAAATATGGCCGTTCTGAACTGTATCAGGATCAAATCTCTTCACATACTATTTACCTTCACAACAAGAAATTTGATTGGCTGTTTATAGTAGATCCAATCTCATTGGTGTGACATACATATATCTCTCACTCACTCACTCACTCACCCATTGACCCGTAACATACCTGACGCGCTGACTAAGAGGTATTTTTTTTTACAAAAAAATAACTCAAAAAAACTAGTGAGACAATCTCAGACAGTGCAGAGTTCAAATCTTTACATTCAAGTAGTCAGTTCTTTCAAATTTATTACTAACAACTAGCATCATTTAAGACACATTTGAATTTCCAGCCACAGGTGACCCATTAGCAAGCTCTGCTACCTGGGGACCACAATGTCACCTGGCATCAAATTTTCTTCAAAATTGTTGATGTTGTTTAATTTTACTTCCTAAGAGCAACAGTAAATATTCCCATACAAACTCTTAAATGATCATCTCACAGCTGGAGCATTAGCTGCCTATGTTCCAATGAGCATATAAGTGAAATAATTATATATACAGTGTATACAAGAAAACAGAGCTACATGTAATATTAATGGCTGTTGGTTACCAAGCTTCCCTTCACAAAACTGTTAATTGTTTGAAAGCCACATGTTCTTAGCAGGTAAATTAAAATTAAACCCCTGACACTCGAACATACCAGAAAGATAGTGAGAAGTCTCCCACAAAAGTTGTACTCTCTCGAACAAGAAAGGAACCATCTCCACGATTAAACTGCTTAAGCAACATCTCAGCTGCTTTTCGTCCATCTGGAAGCTTGCCATGAAACCATCTAAAGTGTAGGAGATCAGAACACATCTCTAAAAATCCTCTTATTATCTCAACGTAAGCATTTCAGCTTCTGATCGAACTTGAAAAATATCACCTCTGACTATTCCAAGTGCATGGCAATATAAATTGTTTTTGCTCCTATTGTATTAAATCTTCTTTGCATGATGCAGGTTTAAAAATAATTTACTGACAATGTAAGGACTCAGTGACAGTTTTCCACCCAGAAATCTTACACTTTTTAAAAGTCAATGTCTCCTTCAATTTTAAATCGAAAGAGCTAAAAAAATCCACCTGTTACTAAGAATTACAAGCTCCTTATATGCAAGGGGCATGATGACCTCTTCATCCATAGTCATGGTACTGGTCAATCATAAACCACAAAACTTGCCAAAACAACCTAGGGAATACTTACAACAAAATTGTAGGAAGGCATAATAAGTACTAAAAACCTTTTGGTTTAAATTAAATTCTCTCTGAACAAAAGACTTTGTACCCAGAAGCTAATGAACACATTCAGCACAAAGACTTCAATGTAATGTGGCTTGTACACTAACCTCTCACCAAAGTGAAGTTCATCTTTCGATGACTACAAGAAAAAAATTTTTTAACACAATGATCACTAATTACAACTGGTGAAAATAAAGGTTAAATGAGAGAAATAATTAAAAGCAAATCTTGTTGATTATAGACATAAATTAATGCACCCTGGTAACAAGGCAACAATATGCAATTTTAGCCATTATTTCAAACATATGTTACAGTGACTACTTCCCAGGGTGTGAGAAATGAAAGACATTACCTCTCCAACTCCATTCCCATCAGATCCCTCGTCATCATCGTCATCCTCAGCCTTGGTTTGTTCTTCTGTCCAGAACAGTTTGTTCTTTGTTAAGCAAAAGAAATGCCGATTCCAAACCTATCAATTGCAAGTAAATACATCTCATCAATACAAATGAAAGAATGCTGCATCAATCAAACAAAGGCACAATTTAATAAATATTATGATCACTATTATTAAGTTCTTTTACAGCTAAACATCTAGCCATCTTTCCAAGAGATTCTACAGGTAAGTTTCTATTATCCATAATCTAATCTCCAACACTGTAAGTATATGTACCTGTCATTATCTACATGTAATTACTACTTTACAACAGTCTTCTGTCCAACTGAGCAGCCTGGATTTTCCAAGAAACAATGACCCTGGGTTTGGGAATGAGTTTTCTGCTATGTCATCCCAATCTACCTGTAATAATTCAATTTAGTCCCCTTGCCCTTATTTCGTTCAACAACTAGTCATATTGTACAACTTTCCAGTAAATAACATCTTTGTATTTAATTATGCCTTACTTTCCATAACATTGTATTGACATGAAATAAGCCTTTAGAACTTACATGATCAATTTCATCCTCCAGCAGTAGATATCCATTCTTAACTGACTGACTTAGATCATCTTCTAGTACTACACCAGGCAAAATCAAAATTTTAGGTATAAAAAATGAAACAATAATGATAATTTATAACATTTGACTTATGAAATGCTTTCAACAGGAATATTTCACATATTCATGGAATGACTGATTGACTGTGGAAAATTAACTCTTTTATGATTATAGATGTACAACTAGATCACACCAATTGCTTATTGAGTGATATGCCATAAAAATATCCTTTAGATTTACAAGCACAGGAAAACTAATCATTAAAACTATTTTCAAGAAGCTTTCTAATAAATTCATTATCTGATGTTGTTACACAGAAAATCATTAGTAAACTCACTTGCATCACCAATACTAGTGTCTGTCACCTGGGTAGGATCTTTTGGCAGTTTTTTATGCTACAAAATAAATTGATGTTGGCACTTTCTTTACAAGTGTAAATATATAACTACCCACTGACAACAGGTCAGTCATTTCATTTTTCTGTTTAACTTGTAGCTCTGTTGATCTAACTAGTTATCCAAAACTATACAACTTCTTACTGTTCAAGATTGTCTTTCAGTTCAGAATGGTGTTTGAAAAAAGACAATTTTTTTCTATGTATAGCAGGTTAGTGGGAAAGATGTTGATGGGTGTTGGTAGGTATAAGTGTGTTGGACACTAATTTGGAGCCCTGGCCATGGTTGTTGTGTTATGTTCTTGGGTAAGACTCTCTACTCTCAAGGGTGTAGATAGCAACTGGTAAATTTATAATGCCAACAGTAGTCCTGTAGTGAACTAGTGTAACTGTTTTCGTGACAGGCTACTGGGCTTCAACACTTCGTCACCACATTCAGAACTAAAATAAAATTTAGTTTAGTTTATAAATAATTGAACTAGAATTATCCTACAAAAAAAGACAAGCATGCTTGCCCTAGATTCATAACTGGCACTTCTGAGACATGTCAGCTGATGTAGCAGTGAAAGTTCATGGGCAGTAAAACAACAGTGTGGCTGTGCTTATGATGAGCAAGAAAGAAGATGTGATGGCTATGGTTCACCTTAAGGATGATCTTGTGCTTCAGAGCACTAGGTGATGGCATCTCTTTGGAATTAGGATCAACTGGTTGTGAAAGAAGACAATCTAGAATGAAAAGAACAATAACTGCCAGTCAATTATATTCAGGTAATGGGAAAGCCCACAACTTTTTAATACCAGTTTTTATACATGAAGTATTCATTCAGCTGTGAGGGCCTGTAAATAAAATCAACCAATCAAAATGCTTTATTGCTAGTCCAACATTTTCTAGGTGTAAAGTTGTTTTATTAATAAATCTCTTATTATCCAAGGCTGCTTAACAGAACAGCACCCAACTCTCTCCCTCTCTTCTGAACAGACCTGACTAGCTTGTCGTTTGTATGAAGCCACCTTTATTACCAGTATATGGCTAGCTCCATGAGCAGGCATGATAAACCAAATCCTGCAATGTGATTGGTTACTTGAGCAGGCCCGCTAGGGACTACCTGCTGGGTCCCGCAAGAAAAATTTCTGTGAAAGCCATGTAATAATATTGGCTTTGTTCTTTTTTTGCAAGTTTATGGACCTCAACTCCGTCTCATAAAACACACAGAAAAGAACTTGGTCAATATCCAGTCACCTTGACCTCACATTTGGTCAATAACCCATATATACATGGCCCTTGCATTTGCTTAATAAGATATAATTGTTAACTTCTCTAATACAATAGAAAATAAAACTTCTTCCATGGTTTAATTTGTTACAGGTATTAGTTATCAGAAGTACAAGGAATTCACAAACCTCCAAACACTTCCCTAAAGGTCTGTGCCATAACCTTCTGTTGAGGTATACTACAGTGGTTCTCCAGCGACAAAATTAATGGATAGCTGAAAATTTCACACATTTATTTATGGATACAGCAGTCAAACTTGGAAGCAAAGTTAGACCTACTACAGCATACAGTGCCATTTATGACATTGGTAATGAGTCAAATATCCAATGTACTGATATTGTAACTAACAGCCATTCAATCTAATAAAAAATTAAGCTAGTTCTTACTCCGAAGCAACAAACGCATTGTCCTTGATTGCACGAACCACTTCCACAAATTTGATTCTGGATACAAGTGTGTGACCATGGGTAATGATAGGCTGGCCGTCTGGACCATCCCAGCAATCCACTGAAAAATATAAAGACACGAATGATCATTGCAATTATGTCCACAACTTAAGCAGCTGTGAAATCAAAGCCTGGTCTTTCATATATTCACTTGCATTCCACTGATGACTATCAACCAAACACATAGGGAACAAAAAATAACTACAGCTTATTCTGCTTTACTTCATGTATTATATACAGTCATGTAGTTCTTCATATTCACATTATAATATAAACTAGTATTTGTTTGTCTTGACAACTTCACTTCAGTTAGAGGATGGCAGAAACACCAGTTCTCTCGTGATGTACTGTTCACTTTCATTCAAAGTAAACAGAGCTATTTTAATGCAGAAACTGTGGTGCTAAAAATGAGTTTCCAGGTCCTCAGACCTGGTTTCCCATTTAAGGTGGCTGGCAACAGTTTCCAGCACTTTCCAGCTACTATACCTTGATGGTTCAAGACTTCTACTCTTTATAAAGTAATGTTACAATATTGGTATCATAAAAATGCCCAATCAATAATGAACAAGTTGTGGTAATCTTCATGGCTTATATTGAATAGTGATAGGCATTTTCGTGAAGTTTTAAGAAAATATGTGGTAAGCAGGTTCAGAGCCACCAGTTACATTTCTGAAAATTTGAGGTGGCTCTGAACTCCTTTGACAGAATTTTTACAGTTTGCAAGTAGTCTCATCTCATCATGCAGTTTATTCCACAGTAAAAAGAGTGGGTTTTCAAGCTCTTTCAAGAGTTATAAGCACTTAAAGCTAATTTAACAGTGTTTTGTTCTTGGGCAAGACACTTAACTGTCACAGTGCTTCTCTCCACCAGGGTGTATAAATAGGTACCAGCGAATTTAATGTTGGGGGTAACCCTGCGATGGACTAGCATCCCATCCCAAGGGGAGTAGAAAAACTCCTAACCGCTTCTTGCTACAGAAACCAGAGATAAGCACCAGCCTTATGGGCCACTAGCTGGGAAGGGGGGTGGGGTGGGGGAGATTTGGATAGGCATTTGGCTGAAGGGTCTTAAACACTGACCCTATTTAACCCATTGACGCCTGTGCCAGCCATGACAAGCATTGGCCTTTGTTCCACTTCTGACATCATCACCTTTGACCAAAATTGGCATCATCTATACTCAAGTTCTGCAGGAGGAAAAGATCTTTCCAATGATACCCAGATAAAGGTGATCAGCTTAATGGTGCCTGAAATATGCATGAAAATGATCAGAAATTTGAGTGAAAAACTCATTGCAAAATTTCCTGCGACTACACTTAACTACTCCATGGTAAAAAATGCCTGTCTCAATGATACTTTCTCAGAAATTTTTAAACTGGAGGCAAGCCCAGTAGAAGGTCAATCACTGTAGCAAAAAAGATTAGAAAAGGAGAAAAAGAAAAGGTGAAAAAGAAAATTTAAAAACCCGAAAAGCCTAAAGACGTAGGTCACTTTCTCATCCAAATTTTAATTTCTGTGCATGCCTGAGCAAAAATGTCGTAAAACGTGATGCTGGTGGAAAGAAAGGCATGCTGTCATGTTGCAAATACCTTTTTGAGTAGACTGGAGTTAATCTGGCTCAAATCCAGGCTGAAAATCTCTGAAATGTCTAAAAAATGCATTGTTGGCAAAAAGCTCCAGGAGTCAATGGGTTAAGGAGGAAGCAGAAGCAGACAAAAGTTGATACCTAGGACCAGAAATGATCCCCAGACTGTACCGTAAATGATCCCACACCAGAAACAGTTGCATCACCGTAAAAGATGGAAACGTAAGGACTCAGGAATTTGGACAGTGGATTTCAAATTTATACAGTCGTTTTTTATTACTGTGAAACTCAGAAATCCGTGAACATTTAGATTTGATTCCAAAAGGTTAATTGCATACTGAACCAATCACAATAAGGTTCAGGTCACATGAGAAAACCTCAAAACCAAGGTTTAGTTTCGTCACACTTAATTGGCCTTTTCCATGCTATAATATCCCTCAAATAGTTCTGATATTCACGGTTTTCTGAGTTTCACAGTAACAATACAATATTTTTATACAACAGTTACTGAATGTAAGGCCAGCAAAATGTGCCGTATGAACAATTTAATGCAAATTTCAAAACTTTAAAAGTCATATCCAACGTCACGAAATCCTGTGTTTGAAATTTGTAGTTTAGCTAGGTCCTTCCTTGAATGACTTTATTGGGTCCGAGCCTGAGATGTATTACAATACAGGATGTTCACTATATCCTCAAATTTGGAGACAACTGAAAATTCCCAGGTGGGTTGACTACGTTTTCGCATAGCTTTCAGCTCTATCTAAAGAACACTGTGGTAACTCGCAGAAAGGAATCTTGTGCACTTTCATGGGAGTCCATGGCTATCTAGGACGCAAGAATAAGAAGTGTACAGGGAAAATTTCTAAGTGGTTAATTGGATGGCAGAGTTGAGGCATCTTCAAAGATGCATGTTTCTTTTTGCAGTGCATTTCCTAATAGAAAAATTTATACCGTCGACTCAAGTCAATTGGTCTTTTGTGCAGTATGTTTTAAGTTTTGTATTGCTGCTTTTATTTTATGCATTTATGAACTGCCTGTCTTTTCTTCACTTAGAATAATTGAGAAAATATGTATCCATCCATAGACTTTTCATGAAGTCCATGCCATTCCTAACTTTTGGCCGTGGAATAAGTACCGGTCCTGGGGTCATTTGTGGGCCTGTACATACCCTATGTAAGGGAAAAACATAAACTAAGAATGGTGTGAGCTGGTCAACTTTATTTTGTTTCTTTAAAACATTAGAAGTAGTGAATAGTTAAGTTTTAACAGATCACCATTTACTTTTCATTTAGCTGGGCATTAACATTCTGCAGTTTTAGCTGATACAATTCAGGTACCCTATCTAAGGATCTCACCGAAACACAACGCCAGTAGGGGCAAAATATGATATCCCAAATAAAGATTGAGAACCTCAAAAGTCATACCCTATCCCGCAGCACATACCTACATATGTAGCCCATATGGGCATTCCTCCACTTCCAGGGCCACTAGGCTCGAATGCAGACTTTGAGAGTTGCTATGGTACTTAATTTTACCCAGGGTTAGGGTTACTATAACCACAACTTGTTCACAAATGATTGAGTATCAATTTTATGTATGACACAAATAATCTAACATCACTTGATTAAGAGTATAACAAAGTATATAACTGCTGGAAAGTGACAGAATACTGTTGGCAACCATCTCGATACTGAGAAGGATATAACCCTTTGAATGACACTCTAGTCTACTCCACCACTTACACATATATGACAAGGAAATTCTGGTACAATCAATACACTATATATTAACCAATTGGTGCAGATTAAGAAACTAACATTCAAGGCAGCGGCAGCCCATCCTGAGAGCACGAATATAGGCTTCTACAGATGCTTCACCTTGAAACTGATCCCCTGTCAAATATCTGTAAATCAAATTCAGCAACACTAAACATGTACCTTATAACATAGCAAATAGCTATTACCGGTAAGTACAAGTACCAGTCGATCAAATTCAACTAGTTCAGAATTAAAATATAATCAATACCTGAATATGATATAGCTATTCAGTTTTATAAATTATGTGTTGAATTATTCTCCCATTTTGATTGGTTCTTACTTATGTTCAATTGAAAGACAGATGCATAGACGATGTGATTAATAATTTTCACATAATACAACTAGCTCATTTTAGCCAAAGTTCCCACTAAAAGTAGAAAACTTAGACCAGAATGATAATTAGATAACTAGGAAGCACAAGCAAGAAAAACAAAGGCAGAGTTTCTTCAGGGTTTTCAAATTGAAAAAAAGTAGCAGGAGGAAATTGTTAAGTAGCCGTTAGTTATCTCTTCCTGATAACTGCAGCCTTTTAGGGTAGGGTACTGGAGAGGAGCACCCCCTTCTGCATAGGGGAATGGGGTGCTCCCCCCAGAAAATTTTGAAAATCAGGGTGCCTTGATTTTGCTGAAGGCCTCTGTACACTTATTATCAAGGGTTAGTGGTGAAGAACTTTGTAAAATTAGTTGCTTTCCAAGTTTTAGGATCTGATGTACTGGGTATACGAGACCCTTCCATGTCTGGTGCATCCAACAGAAGCAGTGAGTAGACGTGTCAATTTTCACTGTTTATTCTTTACACCCTAATACCAGCAAAGTTTACAAAATGAATACATTTTCCTTGAATTCAGTTTTAGAGAAAACACATAGTTTTGATCCCCCAAAATACATTTTCCTGCAGTTCCGGCTCAAGATTGGTTTTGCTTTCGTAATGAAAGAGAGCTGCAGATGAATCAACAGAATTAACGTAATATTTCCATGAGGCGACTTCCCTTGATATCTTCCCTTTCACATACATTAAGTATGACAACAAAGTCAGCGGTCTTGTTTTGTTTTCTACATCAATTCGCTCCAATTTGTAGGTTGGTTTCTGGGGCAGATCCAGGGGTGAAACGGGTGGTTCAGAAGAACCTCCTAAATGAGATGAAGAATGCTTAAATACAACAAGACCCTTTGTGGGCAAACATCGCAAACAAATATTATATTTTATCTTCTGACAAAAAAAGACTAACTTGAAAAGAGCAAATATAATATTGACAAATGAGAGTCTTTTCCTGGTTTTAAATGCTTCGCTTAGTCTAAAATCTGTTTTATGTAAGAACTCCCTTTTTAATTTGTCCATTTGGTAAAACAACACACGCTTGCTGCTCCTGTTAAATTCTACATGGTACCAAAAGCGCAAATGCTTGAAGTAGCCGGTGACTTGCACTGGGCATCAGCTAAATTTGAAAACCCTGATTTGTTTAATTCAGCTTAAGTGGATTAATTTATCCTCGCTTTCAGAACTGGAACAACATGTAATATTTGTTTACTCTAATTCCTAAAATTGTTGTTGCCTGTTTGTCTTCATGACTTCTTGGCTGTGGACAGAAAAGACAGCATCGTTTGCTGCCTCCTCTTCATCTTGGAAACTGTGCATGTGAGAAGACATCTGCCACCGTACTGATAAACATGCAAGTTAAAATGACAGTCCATGCACACGAGCAGACTTTCCGCCAAAAAAATTAATGCTCTTGCTTTGAAGTTCGAAAGGTACATATAATAGCTGCACTGTTTTTATTTTTTTCATCTGTTAGTGTTTATTTATTTCCCTAAAAGATCAGGTCGCAATTACACTGGTGAAATTTGGAATGCAAAAAGTACCCGGCACAAATGCTTGAAGTAGCTGGTGACTTGTGCCGGGCACCAGCTAAATTTGAAAACCCTGATTTCTTTAAAGTATAAGTACAACATACTACATACGTGTTGTGTGAGGAAGCAATCCAGTAGAAAGTGAGTGGTTTGGTCATGTCCTGGTACACTTCACAATGTGAAGAATTGAACGCACTGTTACCTTTTGACATCAAGAAATCTAAAAACTAGCACAAACACATTGAAGTTGTCATTACAATCAAATACAAACCAAGTTAAACAGTGACAACAGAGTATGCTTCCGAAGACCAATGAAAAAGCAGTATTGACTTGAAAGTTGACTTCCTGTACCCTGCAAGCCAGCAGGTTTTCTTGTTGATCACAAATAAAGAAGCAACTTAAGGAGTATTTCCACTCCCCCTGGATAGGATGCTAGTCCCTAGCAGCGTTACCCCAGCATTAAATTTGCCAGTACCCATTTGCATACTTGGGTGGAGAGAAGCACTGTGAGAGTTAAATGTCTTGCCTAAGAGCACAACACAATGTCCCCGGCCAGGGCTTGAACCTGGACCACTCAATCCAGATAAGAGCACACTAACCATGAGGCCACCACGCCTCCACTTATTATACTAGAAAAATAAAATTGACCTTTACCATGCAAACCAATACTAAATATCATCTACAAAAGCATCATATATTACCTCTGAAACAGTAAAATATGGTTCAGAATAGCTTCTACTCCCATCTGCCAGATATTCCAACATATAACTTCTTACAGTCTCTATATCCTTGGCTCCAGGTTCCTGTGGATTAACACATATTATTCTCCTCCAAAACAAGCACTTCAAGGTAAAGTAGCAAACATTATCAACTAACACAAAAGCTCACAAAAAAATAAAAATAAAATCAGCCTCTGATTCTTTACTAGAATATCAAATGGAGCGCTCTTCAATGAAGTGTCATAAACCTAAAACCAAATAAATTACTTGAACCAGTTACACTACTCAGCCTACAGAAAAACCAAAACCAAAGAACTTGCCTGATTACTTTCAACAGTCAATTGAAAACTGATCTATTTAACTTAAAATAGTGTAATCATTAAACCGGTATTGGGAATAAATATCAATTTTATAATTAATTATAAGAAAAAATTGAGTTGCCCAAATAGTCAATCACCAAGTATAGTAAGAAACATCTGCTGTATTCCAAACAAGACCATGTATTTTTTATTTGAGCACAAGTCCAAGGAAGCCTGCAGATTTCATGTTTTATATATGTATTAGAACTTCACCTCCTATGGGTATATTACGAACTCACAAAGTGGCCAGCTCCCAGTTGGCTTGTTAGTTCAGTTGGTAGAGCACTGCACCGGTATCGCAGAGGTCATGGGGTCGAATCCCGTTTGTGCCTGAATTTTTTTCAGGCTTTAATTTCACAACTGCTTAAGTTGAGTGCATAACTGGGATGATCAATCACATCTTCATGTCCTTTGGATGCTGCCTACTTTTGTTAGTTAATTGGTTCAGTGTCAGCAGCTTTTCTAATAACTGTGGATAAGTTATGAAACCTCGGTAAGCAGTAATCTTAGTAAACCTCTCTCTTAAAAAAGGCATTACAGTACAGCCTCAAAATAATCCATGCACAAGAACTTCTTTTTGTGTCTGCAAGAACTTCTTTGTGGTAAGCTGTCTGATCTGCAAGACCTTCTTTGCATTAATATTCTAAAACTGAGAGAAAGTGAGAATAGATGACACGTAACTACATGAAAAGTTGTGAACAGTATTTTGAATTGCACGATCACGAGCTGTTGTTTACAAATTTTACAAGGTTTTGTTATCTGTTACCGTTCTGTATCTGTTCCATTTCCCTATCATTTCCATTCAGTAGCCCTTCTGTACCCGTTCCATTTGTGTTCTCATACCCATTTGGTATCCATTCTATACCCATTCGCGAATGCGTTCCCTGTTAGGTTTCTTCTGAGCAGTACTGTATTTATATCAATTGAAAAATAAATGAAACAACAATATGATCAAACAGATCAAATCCTGTTAAACAGATCCTTTTAAGGCTAAATTTGGACTACAGAAAGAACTGGGCACACACATGTAACCAGAGATATCACGGTCTCCCACTTTTTTGATTCTCATCCATGGTACAAACAACAAATCCCCGCATCACCAAGGCTACATTTGCACCACGCATGGTGGGAAGTTTGTTTATTATAAATATCTATTATTATTATCATCATTACCACTACCGCTACTGCTACCACTACCGCTACCACTATCACTATCATGATTATTATTAAAGTGAAGTATGATCATCGCAGTAAATTTTCCAATTTAAGCAACTGGAAAGA